ATCAATTCTTTTGTTAAACCATCTTATAACTTTAAGAAATATGTTTGGCTAATTGGCAATAAAATTAGCGGAATTATCTGTTTTCTGCCATATTGCTTGACACTTGTTTAATTCTTGTGAATATACAAATGATTTTATATGCCCCAGAAATAAAATTCTAGATATTACATTCGGGTGTTCTAGGCGGCTACAGAACTTCACTAGCTCTGTCAATCCAACGATGAGGAAATCGCTTATCTTTTTTTTTATATATTAAAGGACAATCAAGCAGAGCTCCATTCTGTATTAACCACTTATCTCTATTTTCAATAAGTGTCAATTCTTCTAGATCGTTGAAAAGTGTAGTTTGTAGCAATTCTAAATAGGAGTTACCATTCAAATTTACTGGTAATTCATAAGGACCCAACAAATAGCTATCTTCAAATATACCGCACAATACATTATTTCTAAATACCTGTTGAAAATGTAATTCTCGAAATAGATGGGGATTTTTCATATATTAACTGTGGCTGTTTCTCCAGGTAAATACACCTCTTTAATAAAATTACGATTTTAGTGTTCTTTATTTATCATCCACTGAGCAAAACTAAATCGTTAAGCATAATCTCTAGGTAATACATTTTGTACCAATGTAAAGTGATAAGGTCGTAGATTTTCTTTTTTCAGTACTTGAAAAACTAAACAGTGGCTTACTCCAGTGATTGCTGATAAACGTCGAGTGCTTATTTCAGTAATATGCAACTCGCACTATAGTAACATCATCCTGATAAATTGTTAAAATTTTAGGTCGTTTTACATCATTTTTAGGCTTAAATTGTCCAGTATCTTCTAATCGACTAAAAATATTACCGAATGTTTGAAAATTGGGTTGAAATTTGTCTGGATATATTTCTTGATATTTTTGTGCTGTAGCAAGATAAGAATAATTATTTCTTGCACATAAACACAGAGCACATTTCGCATTTCAAGAATAGTAAAATTGTTATGCCACAGCATTTTTGCTTACTTAGCTTTTTAAATTTTATAGCAATCACAATATTTAATGACAGTAACAACAACAAACAGCAATTACAGCATTCTACTAAATCGAAATGATTAATTTTAAACATCAGAACCAACTACAAAACTTGAATTTATTTTCAGTATGTTGTTAGTACTTTAAAACCATGAAAGCATAATCTAAGCATTTGCCGATATTACGTGAATAATGCTTTAAATGTAAAGAACAAAACATTTGTTATAAAGTATTTTAAAATTAATTACAAAGAAAGAAGTGATAAACTTATTGAGGTTCATGTTAAAGATTTGTTAGAAAAGCTTTAGTTAAAATGAGTTTTTTGATAATTTTTTGTTACAAAAATTGTTTTTTAATTTAGATTATAACAGAATCGTTTTTTAGAACCTCAATTTGTTTTTAGATAGTTAATGCGTCTATTCGTTCCTAGAAATTTCAGTATCTAACATGTAATTAACAGTATCTATGTTTTTTTATTAATAGCGATTAAAATGTTTCATTTGCGTAAAAAATGAAATCATATGCTCCAAAAACATCAACATAATTAACACAATAATCAAAATAACTATGACACTTTATTTTTACCTTCATATATCTCGAAAAATAACAACTTTATCGTTAAGAATAAAATTATATTATTTACATATAATGTATTTGAGACTCCAAAAATTGCGCCAACATATCAATTTCTCCAGTAGCGCAGAATTTGGAAAGGGTCAACCATAACGTTTCCCTGTCGTATGCCTCTGGTAGTAGCCAGAAACGTTTATTTAATTTAGTAGGGTACACAGTACCTACACCTCCTGCCAATTATGACAAGAATATGTCAAATAGTTTTAAAGTGCAGGGTACAAATTTTTCAATAAAATACCGTGTAACTCAGTAGGAAGATAAATTTGACAGTGATTTGGGTTAAACCTTTTTTAAACCCAGGAATCTACAGTTAAAATTTTAATATCCAATTAATAATGAAACACCCTGTATACTTTTTTCTTCGTATTTTTTGTTCTCTCTGCTAGTTCTCACTTCTACAGCAGTCATTGGCTTGTACGTCGTCCATTGACTATTATATACGTTTTTGGGAATTCGACTGATCTATTATATATAAGCTTTCCACCAACACCATGTAAACCTTTCATTTGGACTTGATAGACCAAAGGCACTTGAGAAGTGAAAGGGTCAAGAAGACATACTGCTTTTCTTAAAAGCGTCTGTGTGTTCAACTCGGTCCAGTCGCGAATGTTTTTCAGTCATGATATATTTTGTCATCTACCAGAACTCCTTTTTCATTCAATTTTACCCTTCACAATTAGCTGCAATAACTAGTACTTCTCAATTCTAAGTATGTGTCCCAAATATAATGTCTTTCTCCTTTTAACGATGGTCAAAAGTTCTGTCTCTCTTCCCATTCTGTGCTAAACCATTTCGTTCGTAATATGATCGGACCATGGTATTTTTAAAATTCTTCTAAAATGCCATGTCCCAAAAGCTTCTAGGTTTCTCATTAAGTCAACAATAACAGCCCAAGCTTCGACACCATAAAGGAAAATAAAGTAGATATAACATTTTATCATTCGATATCGGATTTGAAGATTAAGCCTTTGGTTACTCATAAATTTCCTCATCGTCAAAAAGGCTGCTCTTACATTTCTTCTAAGTACTTCATACATACATACTGATTTCATAAATACTCCTAAGTACTTCATTTTGTCCACTTGTTCGATATTTTAAATTTTTATCTGGATCCTTGTTATGACTTGGCCCCTCTTACTTAGCAACAGTAATATCTAAAGAAGCTGCTACTGATTTCATAAATACTCCTAAGTACTTCATTTTGTCCAGTTGTTCGATATTTTAAATTTTTAGCTGGATCCTTGTTATGACTTGGCCCCTCTTACTTAGCAACAGTAATATCTACAGATGCTGCCTTACTGTTCTGAAAGTTTGGTGTAGGACTCTGATTGAAGTCATTAAGATCAATTTTGGAACAGATATAGAGTCAGCGACCGTGGTCGCCTCTCTGCTCGTTCTCTTATGAATTCAGAATAGTTACTTATTCTTCTTGGTCCTTTTTTTTTGTTTCTGGGTCCTTTTATTTTCACACAGGTGACAAGGCCATACATCCAGCATAAATCTTAGCATATGATAAGTCAGTTGTGGTGCGACTATCTGGTGATTTGTCGAATGAACATGAAGTAAATGTGCAGGTCTATATGTTTATTTTGTGTGTTGTTTGGTTCTATTTTTCTAGTTAAAACTACCATAAACTTTTGATTTATAAGCAATATACCTATTCAATCTCTAACTACGCTGCATTTTTAAGCTCCCATATAATTTATTGCGTATACGTATTTAATCTAGCTAAAAACTACGTATTACTTTTGTCTTGTAACCAATATTTTATTGGTTACAAGACAGATGCATGAAGTTCCTATTAAAGAGTGTTGTTTTAAGTAGTGTGGTTCTACGATATAAATAATACGCAGGTGCCATTATTTTTTGAGGCTTATTAGTTTTTGAGTATGAGGGCAACAGATGCTATTTAACCATCCTCTTAGTACAGTTTTATGCGGATAACTCGCATTTATCTTTCGAAAATTCTATCGTCGGGCAGTATTTAGAAGCTGCCTTCATTATCATGTCATAATCTGCCCTGTTTTATTGTTTTATTTGGGGTGACCAGATAATATTAGATTTTGACCTTAGTTTAAAGGGTTGTGCCTACCTATTTTTAGCTTCAAGACAATAAGTACTTTCTAAGTGTGAACAAGCTTGAGAACATTGGACTGGTAATTTCGAAATAACTGTGATCAGACATTTTCATTTATTTTGTTTATTATTAAGTTACATATAATCATATAGTTTATTTATTTATTGAGTATATTATGTGTATAATTTACAAACCAAAAAGCATTTTTGTAGTTTTTATTAGTAGTAGCATTTATCTTTGTAGTTTTTTAGCATTCAGTATTTCTTTGGCTTTTGGTCAAACTATTATCTTTCTATTATTCATATTCATACCCAGCCCATGACAGCCATGATAATGAGCAAAAAATTCTTCATATCGTTTTTTTGTTACGACCAGCTTATTATAGCCTAAAATCACTTTTTGGCCGTTTCAGTGTAGGTCAGTCATATTTAACCAACTAATTTAAACGCAATCAGGTAAATGAAGTCCCTATATCATGTTCATAATTGATATCCGATTGTTTATTCATTACTTCGTTCGTCCTATTTACGAACATGATCTCCTCCACTCTGGACCGTGTCAAGGATGAAGACTGTCCCACTAGTCTGTCCTATATTGGGTAGAGGTGAACATTTAATCATTTGTCTTATTATCTTAACGGTTTCTTACCTTTTAGTTAAAACAGTTCCAATAAGAGATATATATCATAACCCTAACTATAATAACATCAATAGCAGAAGATCAAATACGAGGAAAGCAAGGCCTAGGCTTGACAATATAACATCCACCATTCACTCAATATTACTTAAAAATCATTATAAATAACAAAGATCTCATGGGTAAATAAGACAATTAAATTAGCCTATAATAAATGGGGGCTTTACTAAGAACACAGTAAAGAAGTTTAAACTGGAATGAAATATTTAGGAGAAGGAGTATTAATTTTCGATTTTTTTCATATTTCTTTGTCTGTCTTTCCTGTAATTATTCAACTAACAGCTTTTGTTACGGAATTATTGGAAAAAATTAACTATACATTTTAATTTACACTAAAAGTGCGGGAGACTGGTCCTATATACTGTTTAAACTCCATATAAAAGATAAAATAAAAAATATTTATGTATTCATCAAAATTAAAAAATAATGACGAACTAATCGACGTTGGCAAAATCAGGCAGATATAAAACCAAAAAACTAATTTGATTAGCTACGTCAAAAATAAGTTTATATTTTCAATATTTTTTATTAAAATAATTAAAAATTAAAGTTGTATTATTTTAGTATATTGTTACTTACCATAGCCCTGACAGGAGTGATAGCAGGCAGTGTCGGTATATATGGCACCGAAGGAATCGTTGGAATATACTTGGGCGCTGAGGTAGTAGAACCCCTGCTTGAGTATTCACTTCTATATTTACCGCGGTCAAGCTTTTTAGAAGCGGTGGTATATTTTGGTACCTATAACAAAACATAATTTAGATGTTTAGTGGAAAATGATCCAAAATATTCAATATAACACGTTTAAACCAATAAGTTAACCTAAAAATTGGCCACATTCGAATAGTTACACATCTTAAAAATTTAAAAAATATAAACTATCAAACATTAATAAAAGCTATCAAATGTCCGTTAATAGAATCCCAGGCTGACGCGATTAAATAAAGAACAGTACCCAACTAATAGTAATATTTGTTGCTACAATTTTTTTAGAAAGGTGAAATGCTACTTAATACAATAAACGTTGATAAGCATTGGTGCTAAAATATATACTTGAATGTATATATGGAAATAGTTATATTTATAATAGTTATAATATAATAATAGTTATATATATATAAGGAAATAGTTTTGAAGAAGTGGAGGAGAAACTCGAAACTGCCTTAAAAACAATGACAGCGTACTACCTGCAGAATTCTCTGAGACCCAATCCCTCTAAAACCCAAGTCTGCGCTTTCCACCTTCGCACAAAGGAAGCCAAGCGAAAACTCCAAATTGTGTGGAATGGTAATGCATTAGAACACACAAATCAACCTATATATCTTGGAGTAACTTTGGACCGGTCCCTCACCTACAGACAACATTGCATAAAAACAAGAGGGAAAGTAACAACTAGGAACAGCATACTCAGAAAGCTAACGGGAAGTAAATGGGGCGCACGTCCTGGCGTTTTAAGAACAACGGCACAGGCACTGTGTTTCTCAACTGCTGAATATGCGTGCCCCGTTTGGAGCAGATCTGCCCACACCAAACAAGTTGATACTGCGCTAAATGAGACATGCAGGATAGTAACGGGGTGCATGAAACCAACGCCACTTTCAAATCTATATAGAGCAGCGGGTTTTGCAGAACCCTCAACACGCAGAGGCGCTGCAGAACACATAGAGAAAATTAAACAGATCGCGGACGATCGGCATGCCCTATACAAAGCTCGAACACCACGAAAGCGACTAAAATCTAGGAAAAGCTTCCTTGGAACAGTGCAGGATGAACCGCCTGAGTATTTTCCACTTCTCCAGGTTCAATGGACCGGCCAGACCCTAGACTTTAAAACGTAGAAAACCTTGAATAGGATAAGAACGGGGGTTGCTACAGTAAAATCAAACATGGCAAAATGGGAAAAAATAGACCAAGATGATGTGAACTGTGACTGTGGAGAAACACAGAATATGGAACATCTTCTTACATGCAGAAACTGTCCTCATCGATGTACCCTTGAAGATTTGTGGCTCGCCAACAAAGATGGAACCGACGTAGCCCGATACTGGGCCGAAATTTTATGAATGACATGTCCGGACACGATAAAGTAAAGTAAGTAAGTTAATAGGCAAATAAAAAAACTATCAACCGTATGTCAAATATAATTAACGACACCCACTACCGAATCCAAAGTAAAAGCTGTGAGACATAAATAAACAAATGACTAGAATGATTATAGAGGTCAACATAATTTAGTGTAAAGCTAAATGATGACCTTAAGCTTATAAATCAGATTGGTCTTATAAAAATAAGTAAATGCTTTTGTTTTGCCATAAACATTTAAATCACATCAGTAGTTTACCAGTGAATATCGGTATAAAGACTAAAAGGTACAAACGGAGAGCCGAGCAAAGTAGCAATATAGAAAAGATTTCGAAACGAAGACAAATTTAGTAGTGGGTTTTACCTGGTGTAAGCATGTTAATACACTATCACATATACCGAGTGCAAAATATTAGTCACAAAATTCAACGACAAAAACCAAAAGAATTACAAGGCTAACTTAGTGGGTATGACGTGAAAGCCTAATGCAGCTATCGGCGTTGTGATCAAGATCAAAGCTTTATTGAACAAAGAACAGCGTAGGTGCAGAAATATTGATATTGATTAACGTGACAACCAAATAGAATTACATGAAAAGTAAAGTAAGAGAAGAAAGGTAAATACCGCTTTTAATTTCAGTATTTCGAAAAGTGACATATTTTATAAAAACGATTATGATAATCTCGATACGGGTGCATAGCGTAGAAAATTAAGCAAAAGTAACGTAAAAAAGACACTTCTATCGCCGAAAATGAGATCAAACGTAAATCAAAAAGAGATATAAAAAACAGAACTGTCAACACGAATGAAACAGTCGCAAAGTTCGAAAAGGTTTTTAAGGGCTTATATGCAATAAGCATGTTAAAGGACTTGTTGCCAAAGATACTACAACAAATTAGGAATAAGTAAAATCTTTAAAAAGCCCCAAACGACATACCAGATCAGAAAAAAAAATGATAACCAGAAAGCACGACCATCGAGGTTCCAAAACCAAAGATCCAAGTATAACAAAAAATTTTCTCGCACTAGGAAGACAAAAAGACATAAAACAATAAAGCAATTGCAACCAATGAAAAATACAGCCAAAGCACCAGATATAAAACTGATGACGGTAAATAAATTTAAAAAATCATAGAAAATCCAATTAAAACAAATCAGTCCAATATAATACATTGCTTTTAAATGAAATAAAGACAAGGTAAATAAATAAATTATCCGTGGTATCCCAAAAAATACAAAATCCGCGAAAATAAAAGGACACCTAGAAAATCAAAATATTGAAGTACCAAAATCGAATATGCGATCAAGAAGAGCTACAAAGCCACAAAGCTAAACGACCAAAATTCAAAAGACACAAAATATATGATTTTTATGACTTTATATGACATTTATAGATATCAAAATGCAAGACCTTATAAAATTTTCTTTTTATATAGACATAGCTCTTTATGTTTTTCACTGTGCCTTCAGTATGTTGTCGTTTCATCGATTTCGTGGACTTCCTACTGATCGTCTTCTTATTGGCATCCTCTATTTGTTGTTAGTTGGCTTATAATGATCGTTTTAATCTACTCTTCTATTTTTTACCCAGTCCGTAATCTTCTTTACCTTGCATCTACGTCGTATATATGTATTTCTAGCTCTGTTACATGGAGTAAGTTTGCTGTTATCACCATTTTATCTTCTTTTGGGAGAAATTAACATGTTAAATTTCTTGGTGGCTATATTAAATCGGTGCAACATATGTTGTAAATGCTCTTTACTTTAAGAGAGTAGTTTAGCGTCAGCCGTCTGCATAGCAAATTATTTTAAGTTCTTTTTCTCCCATTTTTTATACTCTTATTTTTTTATTATTTCATCCTTGATCAGATTAAACTATAAAGGACTTAGAGAATCTTCTTATCTTATCTCATCACCAGCTTCAAGTGTGTCAGTTAATTCTGCTTCTATTTTTATTTTTATTGAATTATTTTGGTAGATATTTACGATTTTTTTGATGATTCCTAGAGGTAGGTATCTCTGTTGCGTACAATAAGTGACTAAAGAAAAAAATAAATATAAAAATAGTAAAATGGTGTCACTGTGTATGTATTCAATATCATGTGTTCACAGTGGATGAAATACCTGTTGATATTGAATGCAAAATCTATTAGAAACGTCTTTAGGTTTAGAGAATATAGAAGCGACAACAAAAGACAACATCTGAAATCTTAAATCTAGTAATGAATCAACCATAATTTAAGGAGACCTAAATGGAAGTTCTCCGTCTTGGAATACTAATAGAAATGGACATATAAATAGATACGTAGAACACGAAGCATAAATATCCACTAATGAAACCATAGACATATTTTTTTTCCTCTTACTTGTTCTGATAAAGGGAATTTTCTCCTTTTATTTTATAAATTTAATGCTTCTGGAACAAACTAAGCAAGAAATAAATATTCAAATGATAAACGAACTATTATATCATAGAAAACAGCGCAGTCAACGGAAATATATTACATTAACTGAAATTGAAGAATAAAAGGTAACCACTATTACATACAAATTGGTTCTAAAACGGTTCTTATACATATAGCTTCGAAGATGAGACTCAAAGATGAAGAATAATAACCTGCGAATTATCGTATGTGTCGACGAAAATAGCACTGCGAACGGCGAAATACTTTCTGTGCAACTGGCCAGGGTTAAATAAGATAACGCTCACTATATTTAAGTATTACCAACTCGAGCCTTAGGACTTCGTAGTAGTGTCACCAAAGGTCAAAATATACTTTGTTAAAAAGATTGGACTAAAAGCTTGGATTCGGGCTATCAAGTAACAGTATACCTAACCTAACATAACCCTAACTAAGTATCAGAAACATACCAAAGATTTTCATCAAAGATGAACTACAAACGAAGGTGCTGAAATTCAAAAATATAATTCAGGGTATTTTAAACACAAGTTCAATTATAACAGAAATCTTATTAACAAAAGGTAGATCCGAAAAAATAAACTAGAAGCTAAAAAATCTCTTGACAAAAAAGAAATTGGATTAGAAGGCCAGAAAACAGAGCCAAAAACAGAGAACCCAGTCTAGTTGTGGCCTTTATACGAGTAAGTTGTTTTGTCGTTCGAAGCTCATTATCGTTATCTCTATATAAAGTGAAAACTTTTTTGTGAAACAATTTGTGGCTTAGAAAAATATAAAAGTTTAGTGTATTTAAATTGATTTTACCCCCAATGGGGGTTACCGTTTGGATACGGTATGTGTTAATAAGGGTAAGATAGATTCAAAGTGTGAAAGTGTTAAATTATTGAAAACTTCATATGGATTATGCGGGAAGACCACCAGACAAACCTCGAGATATTAGCCGGATGGAGGAAGATGTTAATATAGAAAAAATAAAATGCAATATAAACAACATCTGGGACGGTAACTCAAAAAACAACGGAGAAACTGTAAGTAGTAAAACTTCTAATAATTCTATAGAAAATGTAAGAGAAGGGTTTCTATTTCAGGGCAGTGACACAGGTCCTTTTCATGTATATATAGAAAATAATACTCCTAATAGAATCAGAATTAAATTTCAAAAAAATTATTTTAAAAACTCAGCCAATTTTTTAATCAATCAGGAAACTTTCTCAATATTTACAAACAACAATTTTGATG